TCTAATCCAGTCTTGGCCCTGACCAAGATTCTTCACCCAGGTGAGCTGCTGGTTGCCAGGTGACATGATTATGAAGGGTAGGGTTGGAAAGATGGTTCAGCAGTCAAAATCATTTGCTGCTCTTGGAGAGGACCCAGGGTCAGTTCCTGACACCACATGGTGTCTGACAACAATCTGTAATTCCAGTTCCGGGGGATCCAATGCCCTCTTCTGGCCTTCAAGGGCATATGCTGCACATACATCCATGCAGGCAAAACACTCATACACTTAAAATAAAAAATAATAAACCTTTTAAAAAAGATTATGAAGGGTTTAGTCTACATAGCACATGCACAGGAGTGCTGGACTTGAACCCAGGTCTGTCGGGCTGCTTTAAGTCTTTATTCATTCACTTGTTAAGCAACAAGGTTTTGTTTGTATAATAAATCCAAATGAAGGCTTATTTGTGCCAGATATACTCCTAAATGTTCAACAAATATATTTGGTCTTCATGAAAATTCATAGAGTAAGCACTGTAATTACCAACATTCTGTAGACAAGGAACTGAAGCTCAGAAACCTGCAGTAATTTGCTGAGGCCAGCTGGCTTGGTAGGCAGCCTAGTGAACCTCATCAGGGTCAGGGGAGCTGCAGTGCTGGACCCCGTTCTACAGCACCACATGAAATGTGGCACACTGGGTCTTCCATTCTCTATATACTTGAATTTGGAGACTCTAGAACATTGTTCTGTGGCTTGGCTTTATCAAAGGAACGTAAGCAACCTGTAACCCAATCATTTTACATCTTGCCTCTTTCCAATGAGATCCTGTATTTCTGAGAGGCCCAGTGGGCTTCACACAAAGCCCTGCAACATCCAGCAATCAGTGACAACCACAGCAGCTCCAACACACCTTGATGCCAGCTCTTCCAGCTATAGGCACTAAGCACCTTTATGTCCCAGGCCTTGGTTTAAAGACCTGAATATATGTAAGTACACCATATGTGTGCAATGCCTGCAGAGGCCAGTAGAGAGTGTTAGATCCCCTGAATAGCCACCATGTGGATGCTGGGGCTTGAACCCGGGTCCTCTGGAAGAACAGCAAGTATTCGTAACTGCTGAGCCACCTCTCCAGCCCCTTGGTTTCCTTTTTTTGGAACATGAAGCTGATCAAACAGCTCCTGCCTATGGTAGATGCTAATCACTCACTCAGAATCCTTTGGCTAAGTGTGGCTACCCATCCTCTGGCTGCTTCTGGAATGCTGGTTGACGGCTCTCCAGAGAATTGCATTAGATTAAGCGGGAGCCCTCGCCCCTAGGAAGTTTTAACCACCACGGTTCGAAGGCACTCTAAGAGCAGTGCCTGACTCACAGGGCTTTCAGGTCACACTAACTTTGCCTCCAGATGAGACTATGTTGTATATAACCCATGCTCCAGTGCTCCATTGAGGCTAGACTGAACTTCACAGGGCTCCTTAAACCAAGTGCATTTTATTTATTTATTATTTATTTATTTACTTATTTATTGTCAGGACAGGGTCTTATTATATAGTTCAGGCTGGCCTGGAACTCACTGTGTAGCCCAGTGTGGCCTTGAACTTGTAATCTTTCCTCCTCCATCGCCTGGGTGCTTTATTTGTGTGTCATGGGCTGGCTCCAACTTAAGATTCAATTAACCAAGTACTTGGTTAAATTTTCCACAGCTATTATTGAATAATTCATCCCTTCACATTGGTTAGCAGTTTTACAAAGCTTTTTGTTTTTAGCTATCCTGTGAATTTTAGTATCTGCTATGCTTTAGCACCCAGTTTATTTTTGACTTTGAGGTATGTGGTCTGTTTAGTAGAGCTAAGAATTTAGGATATCTGAACAGTTTTCATTGTAGAAGCCTGAAGCCAAGATCCATGAAAACATATCCAGATTCTGTTTAGTTCCTAAATCAGTTTCTGCTGTGATAAAATGTCAAGACTGCTGGGCATGGTGGCGCACGCCTTTAATCCCAGCACTTGGGAGGCAGAGGCAGGTGGATCTTTGTGAGTTCAAGGCCAGCCTGGTCTACATGGTGAGTTCCAGGACAGCTGGGGCTACAAGGAGACCCTGTCTCAAAAAAGACAAAAAAAAAAAAGTCATGACCAAGGCAACTTATAGAAGGAAGAGTTTGTTTGGGCTTATGGTTCCAGAGGGATAAGAGTCCATCATCGCAGGGAGGCATGGGGCAGAGGCAGCAGGAGCAGAAAGCTGAACACTCACATCTTCACACATGCACAGAAAGCAGAGAGATAAACTGAAAGTGGGGCAAGGCTATGAATTCTCAAAGCCATCTCCAGAGATGTACTTCCTCTCAGAGGCCACACCTCCTAGACCTCCACAAACATCACCACCAACTGGGGCCATGTATTCAAATACTTGGAGCTTATGGGGACCATTTCTCATTCAAACCCCCATGGTCCCTAAAGTGATGCTGCCTCAACTGCTGCTGCCTCCATTGCAGTAAGGAACTACGGAAGGGCCTAGGTCAAAACTCCAGGGACATTTAGGGTCTGCTTCCAATGTATATCTCCAGACCTCCTTTCAGAGCATAAATCTATACTAGTGGAGACTTAGTCTGAACCCCTACAATCCTTTAGCAAGGAGTTATCCAATAGACCGTTCTTGCAATGGCTGGGCATAGTGGATGATACCTACATTTGGAAGGTGGTGGCAAGGAGAATCAAGTTCAAAGTATTCCTTGATCATATCAGATCCTGTTTCAAACCCTTCCCTTACTACAAAGGAAGGAGGGAGGAAGGAAGGAAAGAAGGAAGGAAGGAAGGAAGGAAGGAAGGAAGAAAGAAAGAAAAAACTTTCTGCAACAATGGAAATGTCTTATTTTACCATGCCCAATAAGGTAGTGGGTAAGAGTACGTGAACTGTGCCTATTATGCAAGAGGAACTGAACTATTCCATTTAAATTCCCTTTACATAGTCTTATTTATTGACCACTGTGAAGACTGATTTGCCTAGAACTTGCATATGCTTCCTTGGATTTCCATTTTGATACTTTTATTTTTATTTTTTATGTGTATGCGTGTATTGCCTGCATGTAGGTAAGTGCACCTGTGTCGTGAAATGCCAGCGAAGGACAGAAGAGGCTGTCGGATCCCCTGGAACTGTAGTTATGGACCGTTGTTAGCTGCCATGTGGGTGCTGGGATTCGAACCCCAGTCTTCTGCAAGAACAACCAGTGTTCTTAACCACTGAGCCATCTCTCCAGCCCTCAGTTTTGATACTTTATTAGCATGGATAAAATAAAAAAAGCATTTGCCTTGCCAGGTACTATCCTCAGTGAGAAGATGCAGTCACTGCAAGACAGTTTCTGCTCTAGGTTTCTAATTTAAGGAGTCAAAAAGGTCAATTTTTAACCTTAGAGATGAACCAGATTGCTAAGAGACACTTGCCCAGGGTGTTGCAGAGTAAGCATGGAACAGTCCCTAGCACCACAACAAAACAAAGCAAAACAAAAAGCACGAGAAGAGATGGCTCAGTGGTAAAGGGTTTGCTGCACGAAGATCTGAATTTGGATCCCCAGCACTCAGGTGAAAGCTGGTATAGCTGCTAGACCTTTAGAAGCCCAGAGCTTAGGGGGCAGCAGAGACCAGCAGATCCCAAGGAACTTGTTGACCAGCTAGTCTAGCTGAAATGGTGAGTTCCAAGTTCAGTGAAAGGATCTGTCTCTAAAAATGAAGGTGAAGGGGCTGGAGAGATGGCTCACAAGACCACTGACTGCTCTTGCAGAGGACCCTGGTAGATTCCCAGCATCCACATGGTGGCTAACCACCATCTGTAACTCCAGTTCCAGGGAATCCAATGTCTTCTGATCTCTTCTGGCATTGCATGTCACAGGTGCACCTAAATGCAGGCAATACACTTATACACATAAAATAAAAATAATAAAGAAAATAGGCCAGGCGTGGTGGCACACACCTTTAATCCCAGGATTCGGGAGGCAGAGGCAGGTGGATCTCTGTGAGTTCAAGGCCAGCCTGGTCAACATCGAGAGTTCCAGGCCAGCTGGGGCTACAGGGAGAGAGACCCTGTCTCAAAAAGACCAAAATAATAATAATAATAATAATAATGAAAATATTAAAAAAAATAAAGGCGGAGATAAATATAACACCCAACTTCTACTTCTGGCCTCCATATGAGCCCACCGTCACACACATGGACATTCATATATACAACTCACATAGACACAGACCTCAACCAAATCTGACCAGACAAACCAAATAAATAAAATAACCACCACATACTCACACAAAAGAAAAAACATGGGATACAGAGGCAGGTACTTTTGTCACTAGGCCACTTGGAACAGATGCATCCAGTTAGGCAGGTGACACACAAGGAAATAGTTTCCTTCATCAAAGTGGTCTTGTTTAGAGAGTCCCAGAAGCCAGGGACTCCCCATTCTCTTGGAAGTAGAATGCAAGCAAATGACACAGTGGCTCTGAAACCGAGTCCCACCTCCCAAGTGCTGGACTTGGAAGTAGGATGGATGCAAATATCCTTAGGACACTGAACGCAAATTGCAACCAACATGAAAACTTGAATGAGGGGTTTTGTTTCAAGGTTTAGGATTGGCGAGTGGGTATCTTGAAAGGCAGGGTAGAATGGATGAAAATTTGCATTTATACCACCTTTGACACATTCAGTCTTTCTGCCAGTTCCTCCTCAATGATCCCTTGAGCCTGGGGAGGAGAAGGTATTTTACAGGTGACCTAGTGCTTAGGAAGGAAGGTCAGGGGCTCTTAACTCTTTCTCAAGGGGCTGCAGCCTCTGAGCCACCGAGAGGGTCAAACTGCAGCAGCCACCAGGTCGCCAGTCTGGTGCTAAGATCGCTGACGCCCTGCCCGGCCTGAGCGCGCAGAAACCAGGGGCTGGCTTTAGATTCTACAGGCCGGGGGAGGAGCGGCAGAAGCAGCCAGCAGCCCCCAGAGCCGGTTATAACAACAGAAAGAGGCCTGTGAAAAGCCTGGCCCGGGAGCGGAAGGCGGGAGCGGCGCGCGTGCGCAGAGCGCGGCGGGAGCGCAGCCGTGCTGTGGCCCGCACGACCGCCGGGAAGTTGTGAGCACGGCGCCGGCCTCGGGGGCGCGCACGCGGGGGCCTGGGCCGCGCGCAGTCGCGGTCGACCTGGTTGCTGCCCTCAGCCAGGGTCTGTCGACTGTGTCCTTCCCGCCGAGCCGCGGGCGCCGCCGGAGGGAGGGAGGGAGGGAGCGGCGGTGCGGCCGCCGCCCGTCTGTGGACCCGGGGCCAGCCCTCCTGCGGTTGGCCGCCCCCACAGCCGGGGTCGGTCTCGGAGTCTGCCCGGTCCGCCGGAGAAGAAGGCGGCGGCTCGTGTCCTGCTGTCTGCCCGAACCTGGAGGCCGGCAGAGACCATGTCCGGGAGGCACCAACCACTGTCCACTACCGACCGCGTCATCAAAGGTGCGGAGCCCGGGCCGTCCTCCTCCGCCACCCGCAGGGAATGGCTGGGTACCAGAGGACCAGGGATGGAGGGATCTGGGTGTGGGGAGGACCGGAGATGGACATAACGGGGATGAGGGGAGATGGGTGTGGGGGAGGACCGGGGATGGAGGAACGGGGAAGGGGAGGACTAAGGATGAAGGGAGATGGGTGTGGGGAGGATCAGGGATGGAAGGAATTGGGTGTGAAGAGGACCAGGGGTGGAGGGAACTGTGAGTGGGGAGGACCAAGGATGGAGGTAACAGGGAGGCGGAGGACCAGCGATGAAGGGAGATGGGTGTGGGGAGGACCAGGGATGGAAGGAGCTGGGTGTGGAGATGACCAGGGATGGAGGGAGCTGGGTGTGGAGAAGACCAGGGATAGGGAGAGCCGGGTGTGGGGTGGACTGGGTGTCCATCCCCCGTGGCCCCTCGGCGACCCTGGCCAGTACCTAGACCGGTGCCTGGTAGGAGGCTGGTGAAGTACCCGCCCTAGTGCTGAGTTCCACTTGGGCTAAGGACTGCACCCACTAGGGTGCAGGAGGTCTTGGTTTTTTTTCTTTAAGACACATTCCCTTTTCCTATCTGGGGAAGTCATGGGGTTATGTGGAAAGGGAGTTCACCTGACTTCCAGGTCATGTCTTTCCTTAGGATCCAGATCTTTCTTGACAGCTTTCTGGCTTAACGGCTTTTTCTTTCTTTCCTTTTTTTTTTCTTTTTTTGGGCGGGGGGGGGTGTATGTGTCTGTGTCTGTGCACATTTGGCTCACTCTAGAAATCACAACTCACTACTTTTGCTAAAAGGAACAAGTGATATTGCTACAAATTTGTTTAATGATGTTGAGAGGGCACTTACAGATTTCTTGACATAACATGGGTCTTCTATTTTTCCTTTGGCTGTAGAGACTTGGAGAATAATATTCTGATTCAGGTGTCCAGCTGTTTGTAATATCTGATTCTCATTGTTATAAAAACAACATAAAGTGTCCCTTTCTAAATTTTGTAGGGTTTTATGGTGTAGTTTTCGCCCTTAAACCAACAAGACCTGTCAAATATAGCCTTGATTTGTGTGCTTTTTGTCTGACTGTAAGACTTAAACCTAACCCTCCTCCCTCTCTCTATTTTCTAAGAAGGTAATAATGCTTAGACCAGCTGTATTTCTAGTCTCTGGATGAAGTGGTTAGCATTCCACTGCGAGGAAACTATTAAAATCCCTTTCCATCCTTCATTTTGGTATTAGAAATAGAAAAGAGACTAAGATTAGTAACAATAATGGTTTTTACTTTTTTTTTCCCTCTTCTTCTTCTTCTTTTTTTTTTTTTTTTTAAACAAGAGGGAACACCTATTTCATGTTCAGGGAAGAAGGAAGAACAGTATCTGTGTCATAAATGTTGATTCTCTACATTGTTTAACATTTAGTAAATATGGTATTTCCAGACTTATTTCCTCAGAACTTGGTATCATTAGGGGTTTAAGTCATTTGTTCAGATGTAAACACTTTGTCAGATAAATTATCTTAACCATTTTAAAGTTTTCATTACATTTAACTCATAGGATAGAGGCTTCTTAAGAACTACAATGCAGAAATCACCTTTTTTGATGGAGCAAGGTCATTCTTATGTGCATTAACTTCTGTGCTGTGCTGTTAATATGGCCGGTGCAGTCTGCTGTGTAAGGGTGTTGGCAGTTTCCTCCTTTATGAAAATGACTTCCCACCACTATACCATGTTACTGTTTTGTCCATCCTTTTCCTAACAGTACTGTTCTCTGTCAAAAATGCCTTTACTGCCTTCTAATCTACTGTTTCTCAGCGGAAGTAGGCAAGGAAACCAGTTAAACCTGAACTGTGTGTCCTAAGTCAGGATAACGAAGATTGAGTCTTAGTAGCACCCTCAGACCTTAAAGAATTTCATAGTCTAATCTCCTTTGTACCATGTAATTTCTACCATAACATATAAAGGGCATTTAAAAATGACCCTTTCCTACCCTTAAACAGAAGTAGTGAAACCCAGTTAAAGTGCAGGTGCTGTTTCTTGCTAGGTATGTCCATAGCTAAGTGAGTACCTTCCTTTTAGTCTGCGTGATAGGATATAAATTTGTTCTTTAGCAAAATTACAGATTACCCTATGCTGGAATTGTATGATACCCAGATACCCAGTAGTTAAGACTTTTTTTCTTGAGATAGGGTCTCAACTATATAGCCTTGGCTGGCCTGGAACTGTGTAGACCAGGCTGACCTCAAACTCACAGAGGTTTGCCTGCCTCTGCCTCCTGAGTGCTTGGAATAAAAGCGTGTACCACCATGCCTGGCTAAGACTACTTTTTTGTTGTTGTTATTTTTGAGACAGGGTCTCCTTGTAGCCCCAGCTGGCTTGGAACTCACTATGTAGACCAGGCTAGCCTTGAACTCACAGAGATCTGCCTGCTTCTGCCTCCCAAATGCTGAGATTAAAGGTGTGTACCACTATGCCTTGTAAGACTATAATTAAGAAAAAATAAATTAGATCAGGTTTTTTAAATATTCATTTTATGTGCATGAGTATATTGCCTGTATGTATGTGAGTGAGCCCACGTTGTACAATGCCGAGGAGGTCAGAAGAGGGCTTCGGATTCCCCTGGAACTGGAGTTAAGGACGGTTAAGCCTCCATGTGGGTGTTGGGAATCGAACCCGGGTCCTCTGCAAGAGCATTCATTGCTCTTAACCACTGAGCCATCTCTCCAGCCCCTAGATCAGGTTTTTATAATATGTGGGTTTATCTTCATATGTAAAAACTTTAGCATAAGAACTTGGCCGCAACAGTTTTGGCTTCTGCATAACATTTTCCCCCTGGGTTTTCCAGAGTTTGAAATTGTTGAAGTCTCTTAAGAAAATGAGGTATGAGGCCAGGCGTAGTGGTATGTGCCTATAATCCAGCACTGGGCAGATGGAGGTAGGAGAATCATGAGTTCAAGGTTAGTCTGGGCTGTATGAGACTCAATTTTTTTTAAGGGAGGGGGAGGGCTAGAGAAAAGGCTCAGTGGTTAAGAGCACTTGCTGTTCTTGCAGAGGACAAGGGTTTGGTTCCCAGTGCCCACATGGCAGCTAGCAACCATCTCTGAGTTCCAGGGCACCCAACATCCCCTTCTAGCTTCTGCGGGCATTTTGTGACATTGGTGCACTCATATACATTCAGGTAAAACACTCACTCATACACATAAAAATAAATCAGACATATGAAAAAAAAAGAAAAATAAAGCAAAGGAAACCAGGTATGACTATATGAGTAGGCGAGGCCCACTGTATTGACACCAAGTCCTGCTCCAATATTGCCTTGTCTGGACAGACATTTATTCACAGCTCCAAGGCTTCTGCAGAGGTGAGGCCACACCCCAGTTATTTTTGGTTGTATTATTTCCTGTTAACTTAATTGTTTTGTTTGAGCAAATCTTGGAGAAGAGTGGGTGGGTGGGCGTGATTTGTATTTTAAATATCCTTTAAATGCAGCATTCTGACAGTGAAGGAGGTAGCTTCATAGTTAGAAAACCTGGCTTTACTTCTACTTTGGGACCTTATTGGGGATGTTGCCTTTATTTATTTTTGTTTTGTTTAGTTTTGTTTTTGAGGCAGGGTCTCTCTGAAGCCTGAGGTGGCCTGGAACTTATATGTAGTCCAGGCTGACCTTGATCTCACAAAGATCTATTTGCCTCTGCCCTCTGGAGTGCTGGGATTAAAGGCATGTGCCATTACACCTGGCTGTTTATTTTTTGTATTAGTGGTTTTGGTTAGCATATATGAGTGTGTGTGTGTGTGTGTGTGTGTGTGTGTAAAATTGCTCCTTGCTCATATTTACTTCTGCTCCCCCCCAGGTCTCTCCATGATGTCCCCCTCATTGGTTCTCTTCCTCTTCCTCTCCTTTGTAAACTTATCTTTTTACCAACACTTATCTCTGGTTAGTAATCTCATCTGTAATAACATTTTTCTTATTTAGCCTGAGTCATACAAATAAAAATTATATAGTGATTGTGAAAAATAATCCACAATTAATATATGAAAAAGCATGTAAGCATTTTCATAATTAACCCCCCCCCCAGTCTTCCTATGCAGCTCTAGCTGGCCTGTTATTTGCTGTGTAGACCAGACTGGCTTCAAAATTGTGGCAATCCTCCTGCCTCAGCCTCCCAAGTACTGTGATTACAGATATGTGCCACCCTGCCTACTTCCTTAGTAGATCTCTTTGTACATAAGTGGTTGGTAGAGAAATCATTAGCACTTGAAAATTGTTGAAATTAGAAAGTATAACGTAAGGTAAAAAGCACTTTCTAGTTAGGAAAATGCCTGTTTTGGAATATAAAGGTGATCTGGGTGGACCCCATCCATAACAGTGAAGGGTGAGTATACTTCTCTCCAGTATTGTCTGGTGGCCACTTTCTTCTCTAGCTGCTTATTTTATGTTTAAAAACTCTTAGGATTTCACTAATTCTTTAAGCATTTATTAAGCACCATCTGTAGTATACCTGAATCAGAGCCCTTTTTTTTTCCTGCTTCAAAAGTAACATTCCTCTGAGTGTCCAAAGCTGAGGCGCTGAGCTGAGGCAGAGGACTAGGAACTCAAAGGATTGAGTTAGGAAGTTCTTTCAATTTGGTACCCCCCCCCCATTTCCAACTTTCCTTTCTTGTTTGAAGAATTTCTTTGATGGTGATAAAAATCACCTCTGAACTGACCCCTGTCAGAAGCAGCTGGAAATTCAGTAGAAGTGACCTGTTAAGAGGGCTCCGTAGCCTGCCCTCATCAGATGGCCAAATGGCGTGCAGCAAAGTCACAGCCGATGACCTCTCCCATTCTTCTGTTCAGTGTATTTATTGTCCTGTCCCATTAGCAGCTCACAGGGGAGGTGACCGGCTTTTTAATAGTCCAGGAACAGTGTGACTGTGATGTTCCTAAAAGATTTTAAGACTAGCATTGTGAACAAAAAGTGCTGCTCCTCTTATACCACCTGTACCCT